AAGCATAAATAGTAGGATTAGTTAAGAAATTCATTTTACATCTCAAAGTGTCTCTGTTTGTTTATTTAAACCTCACAGACTGGTTAAGTGGTTATTTTATGAGTAAACATCTCAAAGTGTCTCTGTGTTGTTTATTTAAACCTCACAGACTGGTTAAGATTCTCTATGAGTTAAGCTCTGTGTTGTTTATTTAAACCTTTGGTTAAGTGGTTATTTTATGAGTAAACATCTCAAAGTGTCTCTGTGTTGTTTATTTAAACCTTCTCAGACTGGTTAAGTGGTTATTTTATGAGTAAACATCTCAAAGTGTCTCTGTGTTGTTTATTTAAACCTCACAGACTGGTTAAGTGGTTATTTTATGAGTAAACATCTCAAAGTGTCTCTGTGTTGTTTATTTAAACCTCACAGACTGGTTAAGTGGTTATTTTATGAGTAAACATCTCAAAGTGTCTCTGTGTTGTTTATTTAAACCTTCTCAGACTGGTTAAGTGGTTATTTTATGAGTAAACATCTCAAAGTGTCTCTGTGTTGTTTATTTAAACCTTCTCAGACTGGTTAAGTGGTTATTTTATGAGTAAACATCTCAAAGTGTCTCTGTGTTGTTTATTTAAACCTTCTCAGACTGGTTAAAGTGGTTATTTTATGATAAACATCTCAAAGTGTCTCTGTGTTGTTTATTTAAACCTTGGTTAAGTGATGTAAACATCTCAAAGTGTCTGTGTTGTTTTATTTAAACCCTCTGGTTACTGGTTAAGTGGTTATTTTATGAGTAAACATCTCAAAGTGTCTCTGTGTTGTTTATTTAAACCTAAGACCTTCTCAGACTGGTTAAGTGGTTATTTTATGAGTAAACATCTCAAAGTGTCTCTGTGTTTGTTTATTTAAACCTCAGACTGGTTAAGTGGTTATTTTATGAGTAAACATCTCAAAGTGTCTCTGTGTTGTTTATTTAAACCTTCTCAGACTGGTTAAGTGGTTATTTTATGAGTAAACATCTCAAAGTGTCTCTGTGTTGTTTATTTAAACCTTCACAGACTGGTTAAGTGGTTATTTTATGAGTAAACATCTCAAAGTGTCTCTGTGTTGTTTATTTAAACCTTCTCAGACTGGTTAAGTGGTTATTTTATGAGTAAACATCTCAGAGTGTCTCAGCGTTGTTAATTTACAACATCTCAGAACGGTGAAGTGTGTATTTTATGAGTATAGTCAACCATATAACTGTTATTTAATGATTACATGAGGTTTTAACTGAGTCACTGGTGACAATTACACTATAGTCAGTAATGTAAACAAGATTATGTGAATGATTGACAATGTCGGTTGTGAAACTTGTGTGATGATGTGTGGAGTGAAGATGTCAGCAGTGAACATTAAAGATGTGTGAATTATTATTATTAATCTATATATATGGCGCCGAATTCCAGCTAGGCTGCTCATAGGCGGGTTTTTTTAACATTTGAACTACTTAAGCAAAAACGAATTGGCATAAATAGTAAAGTTGCATCTTATGGTCTGATAATTTTCATTGTTCCTAAGATTGTAATTACTGTTGTCAGACACATTCCCTAGAACATGATCACAGAGATAGTCGGGAACCATATGGTTTACCATGTTATAAAATAATGTTAATTTGGAAGTTTCTCTTCGTTTCGCTAAGGTCTGGTTTGTCTCATTATATAGTTTTGCATGGCTCGTACCTCTGACTACACCGCATAGTGTGTGTGAGGCATCTAAGTGAAAGTGTTCTAGTGATAAGGACTGTTCGTTTGTACACTTGTCCCAGAGATGGCAGCAATAATCAAATAAAGGTATACTGGGAATCTCTATTATCGCGGGCTCTCTGTTATCGCGACACGCGAAAACATCGGGAAAGCAGAAACACCACGCCCCGCATCGGCTGTTTACATATGCAAATTACGTAAATATATTCATCGCTCTTGAAAAAGTCATTTATTTCATTTGGAATGTCATGTCTAATCGTAGAAATAGTAAAGCATTCATCTTTTCAGTAAGTTCTAGAACATTTTGAAACTAGTATGACCCCTACTGCCATTACATCTAGCATGAATCAAAACTTACTTCGTCAAGAGTAATCCCGCGACAACTATAAGGTCATTTGTATGGAATACTGTAAGGCACATTCTCGCGATCTCGCATTCTCGCGATCTCGACCTTTGGAAACAAGCTAAAAATGCCAAAAGTGCGAGAATGCGAGATCGCGAGAACGCGAGATTTGGCTAAAATCTCGTGTTCTCGCGATCTCGCATTCTCGTGTTTTTGGTACATAGCACATTTTGTCAAAAGACGAGATCGCGAGAATGCGACATGTCTCTTACAGTATTCCATACATTTGCATAGTTTCCGTGCTAAAAATATAACAGGAAGTGACGTATTATGCAACTTCACTCTACACACGCCAGCAACTTGTATGGTACGTTTTAAGGTCGAAAAACAATATCTTGTAACGTTATTGTTACCTTGTATCCAAATGAATAGAAGTTTCAGATGTTTGGGTTGATGATATTATTAATGTGAATGAAGTTCCTAGAAGTTTTAATGATCAAACTATTTAGATTCATTACTTGTCTGAGTAAACGTTTCACAGTGTCATCTGCTTGTACCGCGTGCCATAGTAATAGCAATACCGCGATAATAGAGAGTTGCTTCAATTTCCGGGTGAAACAAGACAATTGGAATTGCCGCAATGATATTAAACGCGTTGTAACCATGTGCCACATTATTTGTGACAGAAATGAAGATTAAACATCAGTCAACTGAAAATATATATAAAATGCTAAATGTCAGTAGCCGTTCATAATCCCGACGGCGACAACATTAACTACCGCGATAATAGAGGGTCCCATGATAAAATGAAGGATGTATACATTGTTTCGATAGTTGCGTGACAGTCTGTATTTAAAACTACAAAGGCAGTTAATCACACGATATATATCATTATTACATATTGATACAAATATGATAAAACATATCAGTATTGGTATGAAATATATATTAGTTTGTATATTCTTATTTGAATTTGATCTATGACCCTTTTGACTTAAATCTACGGCTCTTTTGGCTTTCCTTTGGCCCTTTCGACTTTTCTTTGGCCCTTTTGACTTTTTTCAATTTTGGCCCTTTTGTCCATTGACCCTTTTGACTACAACCCGATACAACAGGGCGATGCGTGAGCTGGCTCTGTCTTTGCATGTTCGAGTTGTCCCATTTACTCGGGAACTAAACCGGAAGTGTGAACTTAGACCGTCGCTTACTTCCTTTCAAGAGGAGTAGATTTATCGCCCTTCGGAATAAAAAGACCGCCCATTATGTATACGCAGAATCTATCGGAAATTATTACACACGAGTTCTGGATATCTTAATGAGATAACTTTGTTTATTTGAAACTTGTGTTGTGCAACCAGTTGAAAGTTATCCAACGAGTCTTGTGTAACCAAACTAGGTTATTCAACGATAGTGACGTCATAATGCCGAACCGTCTATTGCCACCTCAATAGTTTAAACTCCATTCAAACAAACAAACATTAGTTTTGTGGACAATTAGAATTCAATTTCGGAGTCCTGGGGATAAGTATCATTTATCAATTGAATAGTTTTAATTCTTTGTTTTCATCTATAAACTAGTTATGACATAGTTGTCTCCCTTTTGTTTTGTTTCCAACCGGCATCGTCTGCTTGATCTGTGCAATGAATAGTGTGTAATTTGATTTGTGTAATAAATAGATCACAAAACTCGTGGATGTTGAATATGGAAAATATTCCAACGATATATTTTTAAACGTTTTGATTTATTCACCAGCGAAAGCTCTTGAATAAATCAAAACCTTCAAAAATATCTCGAAGCTCGTGAATAAATCAAACGTTTAAATATATCTCGTTGGAATATTTTCCATATTCAGCACCCACACGTTTTGTAATCTCTATGTATATAATAATCATAATCTTTTTCCAATCGAGAACCTGTGTCTTGTGCATTCTAAAAGTTTCATCCCTTAGTGTTTATATACTATACCGAGACTGACTTCTTCCTTGCAGTGTGGCTCCCAATTACCCTTTTAAGGCTTTCAAAGTCCTTTGATTCCCACAATGGCAGGAACATCACTTTCTTGTCAGTTCTTTCAGGATCTACTATTCATGTCAAGTCATGTCAATCACTGATTAAGTTTCTTAATCATAATGGGGCGGTGGGGTAGCCAGGCTTGTGGTTAAAGCGTTCACTCGTCATATTGCTCATATTGGTAAAAGCGGCTTAAATCTAAACTCACTCACTCTTAGTCATGATCAAAATTACTTGTGACACCAGGGGTTTGCGAAATGGTGAACATACCCTGTAGGGCTGGGATACCCGGGACGGGTGGGTAATGAGTTGGACCCAGGTACCCTTCTCAATATCCAGACCCATTATGATCATGTGACTAATAGATTAAACAATGTCATATGTTAGTCTTTCATGATTAAAAAGTTGTATTGTCTTTGAAGATTTAGACATAATTACAGTCACTTCTTTTGAATATAATACATGGTTAATACGTTGAAAAAATCGAACTTTTGGTCTCCGAGCTGAGAAATCTATTGCCCTTCTTACAAATTTGATGTCAAGAATTAATATAACGGGTATACGGGTAGGGTAGGGTAATAGAGGGTGGGGTACCAGTGTATAAAATTTGGACCCGTCCCAGCCCCAATACCCTGATTCACCAACGGAAACCGTCATCAACATATACAAAGGCAAGTCAACTGTTCATCTAACACAAATCAGGAATATATGGTACTGGTCGAACGAGGGAATTGCATGGGACACCAATTTTGTTCAATTTTTGGAAGTTCCTAAATAGGTCTACTACAAAAAAAATTTGAAAGCTTTCCTGAGGCCTTGAATGTTGACAAGACTTTTTTAGAAATGACGGATGCATGCTATTACTTGGCAATTAACGTTTGCTAATCACATGAATTTATTAAAATAACAACAACGAAATTGTTGTGTTTTAATATGTTTATTTTGAGTATATTTTCATTATTCCCAACTAGAACATTTGAACAAGTGGTGTGTACGTAGGCAGTACAAGGCCTGATCAGTTCCATATTTCTGAATGTAAAATACTTCGTTCAGCTGAAAATGGGTGTGGGACAATTCCCCGATGTCTCAATGGATCTGCGTAGGCTCAGAATGTCAGCATCTTCATCCCGGCTCCACCAATAGCTCCGACAACCTTTCTCGCTGCATTTCCAATCCAGTTCCAGACTGAACGGAATCCATCTCTCAGTTTCAGACGTAGACCTCGGCTGACACACTGGGATGTTATGCCATCATTATTGATACACACAACATACTTGTTGTCTCTGTCGCCGGAGTAAAACATCACTGCAAGCTGTCTCCCATGCACCTCGAGACTCGCGTGCCTCCACACCCAGCTCGACTCTTCAGCGATGACCGACAGGCAGCACTGCAAGACCCGCCGATCACACGCCAACAACCTATCTCGCTGACTTTGCATGAACAAGCTGATGTCAGAACAAGCAATGTATGGGCTGCAGTTGATATTCTGAAACAAAAATGTATTGGATAATATACTTTAGTTGCTGTGAGGAGGAAGGAGGAGAGAGTGAGAGTTTGGTAAGAGTTGTCGAACTGTTGGATGAAAGTCTGGGTAGAGAGTTGAATGACAGTTGGGTGGAGATCCTGATACTGGGTCTTGTGGAATGATTGGGGAGAGGGTTCGATTGAGATATGGACAGAAAATGGAGTAGAGGGTTGGCATCAATGCATCACCGCCACCAGCACCATCAACACCAGCAGCACCGCCACCAGCACCATCAACACCAGCAGCACCACCACCAGCACCATCAACACCAGCAGCACCGCCACCAGCACCATCAACACCAGCAGCACCGCCACCAGCACCGCCACCAGCACCATCAACACCAGCAGCACCACCACCAGCACCATCAACACCAGCAGCACCACCACCAGCACCATCAACACCAGCACCATCAACACCAGCACCATCAACACCAGCACCATCAACACCAGCAGCACCGCCACCAGCACCATCAACACCAGCAGCACCGCCACCAGCACCATCAACACCAGCAGCACCGCCACCAGCACCATCAACACCAGCAGCACCGCCACCAGCACCATCAACACCAGCAGCACCGCCACCAGCACCATCAACACCAGCAGCACCGCCACCAGCACCATCAACACCAGCAGCACGTCCACCAGCACCATCAACACCAGCAGCACCGCCACCAGCACCATCAACACCAGCAGCACCGCCACCAGCACCATCAACACCAGCAGCACCGCCACCAGCACCATCAACACCAGCAGCACCGCCACCAGCTCCATCAACACCAGCAGCACCGCCACCAGCACCATCAACACCACCAGCATCACGACCAGCACCATCAACACCAGCAGCAACACCACCAGCACCATCAACACCAGCAGCACCGCCACCAGCACCATCAACACCAGCAGCACCGCCACCAGCACCGCCACCAGCACCATCAACACCAGCAGCACCACCACCAGCACCATCAACACCAGCACCATCAACACCAGCAGCACCGCCACCAGCACCATCAACACCAGCAGCACCGCCACCAGCACCGCCACCAGCACCATCAACACCAGCAGCACCACCACCAGCACCATCAACACCAGCACCATCAACACCAGCAGCACCGCCACCAGCACCATCAACACCAGCAGCACCGCCACCAGCACCATCAACACCAGCAGCACCGCCACCAGCACCATCAACACCAGCAGCACCGCCACCAGCACCATCAACACCAGCAGCACCGCCACCAGCACCATCAACACCAGCAGCACCGCCACCAGCACCATCAACACCAGCAGCACGTCCACCAGCACCATCAACACCAGCAGCACCGCCACCAGCGACAGCAACCACACCAGCAGCAGCAACACCAGCACCATCAACACCAGCAGCACCACCACCAGCGACAGCAACCACACCAGCAGCAGCAACACCACCATGTGCCCGCCATCAGTAGCACCGCCATCAGCACCATCAACACCAGCAGCACCGCCACCAGCACCACCAACACCAGCAGGAGCAGCAGCAACACCACCAGCACTAGCACTATCAACACCACCAGCACCGTCACCACCAGCAGCGTCACCAGCACCAGCACCACTACCACAGCACCAGCAGAAATGAATGACTGCTATAACACTCACCCCACATACAGTGTCGTCATACTCTTCCTGTAATAAAAACATCACATCTTGAAATATGGCGTCTAAGGGAGATATAGCATGGCAATCGCAGGTTGCATCTTCCAGTTTTCAAGAAAGAAACCATACAGGAACCATACAGTAACATCTAAGAAGAAAAGTTTCAATCTTATGCTATCCAAATACGAAATGAGTAGCAATAAATCAATCTGCGTGCTCATTACGCTACAGCTATGCACCCCCACACTATGGGTTTATTGGCTTCATGCGTACAAGAACACACTTGAAACAATAACAGCAAGTCTAACAATTATATTGTGACAATATGCCTTTCATTTAAAATGCAATTTTAGATAATGCTCAAAGAGGTATTGAAAACCCTCAGAAAATAAAGGTGTGAACGATAGAATTATTTCATGTTGTGGAGCCAGATACATGGTTTTAGTGGCATACTCACAAATTGATGAACAGGAAATGTTTTCGAAGCACCCTAAAATTGAAAAAGAGGTACAGGGTAACAATAGCGATGGGAACACAACCTACCCAGCCCGTGCCTGGTGTTACCTAGCCCGTCCCTGGTGTTACCTAGTCCGTCTCTTGTGTCTAACGGTAGGTGCTGAAACTTTTTATTTTTTGGAAAAAAAAAGCAACCCGTGCATACGCGCCATTCTTCAGGCCTACAACGGTCAGCTCTGTGTGCAAACCACCTGTTTGAATTGCTTAATTGGCGTCCTCTATCTGTTCTAATCATACCCTGCCTGTCCCTGGTTATGCCCTGCTCGTCCCTGGTGTTACCTAGCTCGTCCCTGGTTATACCCTGCTCGTCCGTCCCTGGTGTTACCTAGCCCGTCCCTGGTGTTACCTTACCCGTCCCTGGTGTTACCTAATCCGTCCCTGGTGTTACCTAGCCTGTCCCTGGTGTTACACAGCCCGTCCCTGGTGTTACCCAGCCCGTCTCTGGTGTTACCTAGCCCGTTCCTGGTGTTACCTAGCCTGTCCCTGGTGTTACCTAGCCTGTCCCTGGTGTTACCTAGCCTGTCCTTGGTGTTACCTAACCCTTCCCTGGTGTTACCCAGCCCTTCCCTGGTGTTAACAAGCCCGTCCCTGGTGTTACCTAGCCCGTCCCTGGTGTTACCTAGTCCGTCCCTGGTGTTACCTAGCCCGTCCCTGGTGTTACCTTGCCCGTCCCTCGTGTTACCTTGCCTGTCCCTGGTGTTACCCAGCCCGTCCCTGGTGTTTTCTAGCCCGTCCCTTGTGTTTAACGGTAGATGTTGAAACTTTTTATTTCTTTTTACAAAAAGCAACCGGAGCATACCTGCCATTCATCAGGCCTACAACGGTCAGCTCTGTGTGCAAACCACCTGTTTGAATTGCTTAACTGGCGTCCTCTATCTATTCTAATCATACCCTGCCTGTCCCTGGTTATACCCAGCCTGTCCCTGGTTATAGCCTGCTCGTCCCTGGTTATACCCTGCTCGTCCCTGGTGTTACCTAGCTCGTCCCTGGTGTTACCTCGCTCGTCCCCGGGGTTACCTAGTCCGTCCCTGGTGTTACCTAGCTCACCCCTGGTGTTACCTAGTCCATCCCTGGTGTTACCTAGCCCGTCCCTCGTGTTACCTTGCCTGTCCCTGGTGTTACCGTGCCCGTCCCTGGTGTTTTCTAGACCGTCCCTTGTGTTTTACGGTAGATGTTGAAACTTTTTAATTTTTTTTACAAAAAGCAACCCGAGCATACGTGCCATTCATCAGGCCTACAACGGTCAGCTTTGTGTGCCAACCACCTGTTTGAATTGCTTTATTGGCGTCCTCTATCTATTCTAATCATACCCTGCCTGTCCCTGGTTATACCCAGCCTGTCCCTGGTTATAGCCTGCTCGTCCCTGGTTATAGCCTGCTCGTCCCTGGTGTTACCTAGCTCGTCCCTGGTTTTACCTCGCTCGTCCCTGGTGTTACCTAGCCTGTCCCTGGTGTTACCTAGCCCGTCCCTGGTGTTACCCAGACTGTGCCTAGAGTTACCTAAACTGCCCCTGCTGTTACTTAGCCACCTCTTGTGTTACCCAGCCTGTCCCTGGTGTTACCTAGCCCGCCCCTGATGTTACCTAGCCCGTCCCTGGAGTTACCTAGCCTGTCCCTGGTGTTACCCAGCCCGTCTCTGGTGTTACCTAGACCGTCCCTGGTGCTTAACGGTAGATGTTGAAACTTTTATTTTTAAAAAAAAGCAACCGGAGCATACGTGCCATTCATCAGGCCTACAACGGTCAGCTCTGTGTGCAAACCACCTGTTTGAATTGCTTTATTGGCGTCCTATATCTGTTCTAATCATACCCTGCCTGTCCCTGGTTATACCCAGCCTGTCCCTGGTTAAAGCCAGCCTGTCCCTGGTGTTACCCAGCCAGTCCCTTGAGTTACCCAGCCCGCCCCTGGAGTTACCCAGCCAGTCCTTGGTGTAACCCAGCTTGTCACTGGTGTTATCTAGCCCGCCGCTGGTGTTATCTAGCCCGCCCCTGGTGTTACCTAGCTTGTCCCTGGTGTTATCCAGCCAGTCACTGGTGTTACCAAGCCAGTCCCTGGAGTTACCTAGACCGTCCCTGGTGTTACCCAGCCAGTCCCTGCTGTTAGCTAGCTCGCCCTTGGTGTTACCTAGCCCGTCCCTGGTGTTACCTAGCCCTTCCCTGGTGTTACTTAGCCTGTCCCTGGTGTTACCTAGCCTGTCTCTGGTGTTACCCAGCCAGTCCCTGGTGTTTCCTAGCCCGCCCTTGGTGTTACCTAGCCTGTCCCTGGTGTTACTTAGCCCGCCCCTGATGTTACTTAGCCTGTCCCTGGTGTTACCTAGCCCGTCCCTGGTGTTACCTAGCCTGTCCCTGGTGTTACCCAGCCTGTCCCTGATGTTACCCAGCCTGTCCCTGGTGTTACCTGGCCTGTCCCTGGTGTTTCCTAGCCTGTCCCTGGTGTTACCTTGCCTTTCCCTAGAGTTACCTAGCCTGTCCCTAGAGTTACCCAGCCCGTCCCAATCCCTGGCGACTGAGTTTAGCTGTAAAGATCACATACGTCAGTGGACGTCTTGCTTTCATGTGGGAGGCATAAAGACGGCGTCTAACGGTAGAAGTTGAAACTTTATATTTATTTTCTTAAAAAAGCAACCCGTGCATACGTGTCATTCTACACGCCTACAACGGTCATCTCTGTGTGCATACCACCTGTTTGACTTGCTTTACTGGCGTCCTCTGTCTATTCTAATCATTCATTGGCTCAGGGCCAAAATTCGGTAAGTGAGTGAGTGAATAAATGTTTATCGTCACATCGGCAATATTTCAGCCATATCGTGAAGACAAGCAATATGACATTGATAAAAAATAAATGTTAGTATAAAACCTGTCGTCAAGGGACAGTAAAACAACTAGAGTATCACAGTCATATTTAAAATAATAGCATTATAAGGACATTACATAATATATAAACAGGCTATAGATCGCCGGCAACTGAAGGCAGATCACCATACTAGGGACCATGGGGACATACATTACATTTGCTACCTGCATGGACCCTGGCTGGATTTACACCATAACTTCAGATGCTTCAGGAGCCAAATCTGGCCATAAATTAAATTCTACCAAAACTTCAATGAATACTGGATTGTGATTGGTTAACTAAAGTCATTCAGAGGTATATTATCACGTTAAAGAGTTTTCTGATTTTCCGTGCACAATTATACATGGTTACGAGGATGCAGTATTTTCGCCTGTCCATCAAAATGGTGGACACCAAACAAACTACCGATACATCGATGGATTATGTCGGAAATTGCACATATGTCTTTAAAGATGGACTTAACTATGATGGGCTCGACACATTTCACAGAAATAGGTGTTTATACGTATAACAGTACTGTAAAGTATTACAAGGGGGTAAGCGTAGTAGTTGGAACAGTGAAACAAATGCCCGTGCGGTACGTGATGAGCGTTAACTTACACCAACCATACTTGTTCTAGGTGTTTCATCTAATGTGCATACCCCCTTGTAATACATTCCCATAATAGCGGTTTGAAACCATGATCGCTTGTTAAACAACTTTTATCGTAAGTTGAATAATATTCTGAGATTTAAATGTTCAATTGGCAAGGTAAAATTATGAGGATTCGCAATCTTATTTTCACTTTATTCGATTAACTTTTTGGTTTAAAGTTAAATTCATCGGTACGTTTTCACTGCAAACAGACTATGCATATACTCAATAACGAATAAGGGAACACATGAAAGTACAAGTGTTCCTTTATTTATTTCCAGAACTTCACTCACAGTGCACTACATACCTTGTGAAGAAACCTGGACAAGAACAACGGAACACTTGTACTTTCATGTGTTCCCTTATTCGTTTCCATGAGTATACAGATATAGACAGTTGTGTTATCAATTCAAATAAAATGATATATTTATGAGAAATATGTACTGTTACAAATTAAGCAGTAGTGTAACACAATTACAGAATTCACTTAATACCTATTCCTCATATGACGTCACAGAGACGCGCCGCTCTGATTGGTTGACATTTCGTTCGCTGGTGAGAATTGTGCACTGTTGTCCAAAAGGTCGATTTAAGTTAATTAAAGATCGAAATGAGTAGTTTTAATGACGGGGTTTCATTTATAACGATGCCAATTAGTGATTTATGTATTTGTACCCCCCTAGAGTATATGTGATCTTTAACCCAACATATCTTCTCTAAACATATAATATCGATGAAATATATTAAAGACATCAGTTTTCGGGTTCAAATACTTTTTTGCATAACCTCATTTGCATAAGAGATTGTGACGGGAGTTAATCGATTCAGCTGTCAATACAAGAAGTGCATGTGTGAAGGACACGTAAAGCACGGGCTCCGAAGCCAATTTTCTAACTGACATGTTGCATTATTTACAATCCAGTTTGTGTATTCCAGGAGCCCACCACTAAAGCCAACTAAATCTAACACGCAGAATGGACCCGGAAGATCGACATATGGATTATCATGACGGTGTCCTATCAACAGCGATCCGACAGTTACGCATGACTAAATGTTGGCAAGCGTTCAACGGTTTAAGCAATAAAGTGTTTGTTAGTTGGTCGTATCTGTTGGCAACTGTAGGTCCACTCAAACAAACGTATCACTGTCACACAGCTAAAGGTTAAACAGCAGCAATACCGTCCTCTTAGTGTCGAATTTTAATGTAGTTTTACTCATAATCGATTTTATGCCTTTGTGTACTAAATCTGAGTGTTTGAAGTGTGAAATAACTTTAGACTGTATCACAGTAACACAACGACAATGATAGCGTGGGTGAAACGTGAGCCATGTCTATGACGCCCAAGGCGACTGGACAAGTCGTGATGGTTTGATAAAAAATACTGAGTTTGAACATTCTTTATAGAGTTTAAAGTGTGATATTCTTTATAGAGATTAAAGTGTGATATTCTTTATAGAGTTTAAAGTGTGATATTCTTTATAGAGTTTCAAGTGTGATATTCTTTATAGAGTTTCAAGTGTGATATTCTTTATAGAGTTGAAAGTGTGATATTCTTTATAGAGTTGAAAGTGTGATATTCTTTATAGAGTTTAAAGTGTGATATTCTTTATAGAGTTTAAAGAGTGATATTCTTTATAGAGTTGAAAGTGTGATATTCTTTATAGAGTTGAAAGTGTGATATTCTTTATAGAGTTTCTTTATAGAGTGTGATATTCTTTATAGAGTTTAAAGAACGTGTGATATTCTTTATAGAGTTTAAAGTGTGATATTCTTTATAGTTTAAAGATGATATCTTTATAGAGTTTAAAGTGTGATATTCTTTATAGAGTTTAAAGTGTGATATTCTTTATAGAGTTTAAAGAAAGTGTGATATTCTTTATAGAGTTGAAAGAGTGTGATATTCTTTATAGAGTTTATATATTCTTTATAGAGTTTAAAGTGTGATATTCTTTATAGAGTTTATAGAGTTGAAAAGTGTGATATTCTTTATAGAGTTTAAAGTGTGATATATAGAGTTTAAAGTGATATTCTTTATAGAGTTTAAAGTGATATTCTTTATAGAGTTGAAAGTGTGATAGATGTGATATTCTTTATAGAGTTTAAAGTGTGATTCTTTTTATAGAGTTTAAAGTGTGATATTCTTTATAGAGTTTAGAGTGTGATATTCTTTATAGAGTTTAAAGAGTGATATTCTTTATAGAGTTTAAAGTGTGATATTCTTTATAGAGTTTAAAGAGTGATATTCTTTATAGAGTTTAAAATGTGATATTCTTTATAGAGATTAAAGTGTGATATTCCTTATAGAGTTTAGAGTGTGTTATTCTTTATAGAGTTTAAAGAGTGATATTCTTTATAGAGTTTAAAGAGTGATATTCTTTATAGAGTTTAAAGAGTGGTCATCCTGGCTACTCACAATGCGTCTGGAGGTTATGCATGCACAAACGTGTTTCAATCTTCATACTGTGATCTGCATCCGTACTGTGTAGAGAGTGAGTATAGCTTTTAGCTATATTCCAGCAATATCACGGCGGGGGACACCAGAAATGGGCTTCACACATTTATCCAACCAGAGTCTTTGAAACGACGAGCGAACGCTTTACCCGTATGCTACCCAACCGACCAAATATTTTACAGAAAGTTAACGTGGATTTTAAAAACAGAAATAAAAGTCGTAAGTAATAGTGAGTGAATGAGTGAGTTTAGTTTTACGCCGCACTCAGCAATATTCTTGCTATATGGCGGCGGTCTGTAAATAATCGAGTCTGGACCAGACAATCCAGTGATCAACAGCATGAGCATCGATCTGCACAATTGGGAACCGATGAAATGTGTCAACCAAGTCAGCGAGCCTGACCACCCGATCCCGTTAGTCGACTCTTACGACAAGCATAGTCGCCTTTTACAACAAGCATGGGTTACTGAAGACCTATTCTAACCCGGGACCTTCACGGGTCGTAAGTAATAAGTGTATAGATGAAGATATAGGAGTATTATATTCTCATCATTTGTTGATATTTGTACACATTTTTCGGGTTTAATTTATTGAAGTATTTATAACCCTGACTATATTTTAAAACACTTAACCAACCAGATGTAATGTTGTCTATACTGAGCAATGTTTTCTAATCATGAATATAGTGAAACCTTGTTAAACCGGACGGTTTCCTTTGAAAACATATTTAACAAGTTTCCCAGCATCATGGGGTGAGTTAATATGGATTTAAACATCGCGGTTGGGAACGCCAGACAAGTGTTTCAAACATTGTACCCATGAGGATGATTAAACCTGGGCCTTTACTGACTGACTGACAGGTTATCCATTTAGGCTTTTAGCAATAATCACGGCGAACCAGAAATGGGCTTCACACATTGTCCCATGTGGGGATTCGAACCATTGTATCCATTAGGTCCAGCAACTGAACGTTTCCATCAAAACCAGACCGGAAAGTGGATTGTCTTAGACTCGAGTCTTCACGGGTTTCAGTGTATAGCAATACAGCAAGAAAACGTAAACTTTTCTAATCAAGAAATAACGATTACTTACGCTTCCCATTTTCTCAGTTGAACTTGTCCGGGTAGATGTTTGCTGAGTACTTCCCAGTAGAGTATGTTGCTTCGGTTCTTGGTATCAGGGTGCTATATATATATTTCCACGAATTGTTCCCCTGTATGGTGTCAGTGCAGTAGACTGGTTCAGCCGCTCCCCATTTACCTGGGGCAACGTGAACATGGGCAACACGGTATGTAGTTTCCATATTGTTTACACGACTTCAAATAGGTATATTTTGTAAATACACATTTCGTTATGTTTCCTGTTGTTGATTCGGTGACTTACGTTCGATGTTTATCTCATGACAGAATTCCTTAGACATTGCTGTGGTAATATGTTGTGAAGAGACACTGTCTTTTATTCATGGTTGATGTCATTCTGAATGATTTAGAGTTAAAATTCATAGTCACATTGTCAACATTTCAGCCATATCGTGACTTCAAATGTTATAAACTCATAACAAACAGAATTAAATTGTGAAAAACTGCCAACGAAGGGCAGTAAAATAACTAGAATATCACAGATAGAGAATTAAAACTAGCATGTAACTGTAAAATTCGACAAACTTTTATAGACAATACAATATAGAAAACGGGCTAGAGATCACCAACAACTGAAGGCAGATCACCATACCAGGGACCATGGGGACGTACAGTACCTTTGCTACCTACACGGACCCTAGCTGGATTTACATCATTCCTTCGATGTTGTTGTCATTCTGAACTACACAACTGTCGGTTTTGCTGGAACCGGAGGGATCACAATGACAATAACCAGTCGCTGACTCAAGCGACACCACGGAGCTATTATGTATTAGAAGGCTCTTCTGTACTGGTCGGAAGACAGGTTTTATATTATGTTTTGGTTCAAATTGTCGAATTAATTAGAACATAGACGGATCTAGTGTGTGTGTGTGTGTTGTACCATTGAAACTCTCGTGAAAACGGGTGAAGATGAACTGTGCTTGCCCCCCACCTTTTCTCAAAAGCTGTCTGTATCCGTCCCTGTAGATTATCTAAATATCAACTGCATACACACACTACACACTGCAGAGTATAGGACCTCGTTGACAGGATTATTTTCCCCGATGGTGTAAATGATATTTAAGCAGTCCAGTAAACGTCTACTGAGGCCGGGGCGGTGGGGTATCCTAGTTGTCAAAGCGTTGGCTCGTCACGCCGAAGACCCGGGTTCGAATCCCCACATGGGTACAATGTGTTAAGCCCATTTCTGGTGTCCCCCGCCGTGATGTTGCTGGAATATTGCTAAAAGCGGCGTAAAACCAAACTCAGTCAGTCAGTCAGTCTACTGAGGCCCTATTATGAGTATTGCCTGTAAGCCATGGATATGTTTAGGTATGTTATCCGTGTTGTCATTGGCAACGGCCCAAATATAACAGCTCTGAAACAAAGTCAGTGGGCATCCCCACACGTCACGGGCCACTTTGTGTACTGACAGACATAGAGTTCTGAAATTATGCCCATAAATACCCATAATCCTGTCGAGTCGTTGTTCGGGTGAAGAGGGTGTGGCGTGTGGTAGATTACACAAGTCCGGAATGTCATAGTTGTAATGCTGTAGACGATTCAAACCAGGATCTTTACAGGTAACGCAGTATACGGGCGTGGCGTGGCACATACGGCAAATCGCATATGGACTCCGTTTAGTAAGCACTTAAAGTTTCGTTCATGAATATGCACGCACACACAATATTTACTTAGGCTGGATTTACATTACGTCCGCATGTTTTTGACGCATGCGTTACCGAGTGCGTTTTTTCCAATACACTAGGTGCGATCATCTGCGATATAAGACGGATGAATATAAGATGGAGGAAAAATCCTAGCATCTCTGGCAGTTTCTGTGCATGAGGAAGAGAACAAAACACGGAGATGGTGGGTACATCCCTTAAACCAACAAAGATTACTTGAAGGAGCCTATAATAGTCTTATAAAGGGAATTATTAGGGAATTAAATAACATCAATCTTTTATGTGGTTTCGAAATATTGAACTAAAAGTATGTAGAAAATATTTACTTTCATACCAACATTGTTCTCTCATACACTCAGGCATTACAGATTCCACATATATAGAATTTGAGCAGTACTGACTTCCCTGGGGAACATAGTTCTGAGGGTTCTGTTGACATGAACCAAATTGAGCCTCATGAAATATCAGGGCAATTTTATTTTTCATAAGACTTTTAGAAGCATCTTGAAGTAGGTTGTTCTGAGAATGAATTTTACCAAAGGTTTGTCATATTATTGTATATGTTATGCACAGACAGGCGCAGAAAGACATTATAAATAATATCTCATAAAAAACACAGCCTGTCTGCAATTGGAATCGCGTGTTTTTATCGTAAGATGAGAAAATAACCTTACCTGATTGTCAACGTGTTGGGGAAATACCTTATTGGAATGACGTCATCAGGGGAATTCCTCATGCGAGCTCATTTGCGTTCCGTCAAAAATAGGAGGCCTACCTATCTAAATCGCTTCGGATCGCAACGCATGCAAAATTCGCACCTAGTGTATTGTCTAAATGGAAAATGTACTGCTTGCGTTTTTTCGGACGCAACGCATGACGCAACGCAGAGAAAATCGGACGTAGTGTAAATCCAGCCTTAGCCGTTGACGTATTTGGAGAATTGTGTTTGGTTGGCTTTATGACGTGTATAGGATACTGGTTTACACTATATGTGTCGTGTTTGGACCACCGGGTGTCTTCTGTTTGGCGTTCCTGTTGATATTTAAAATCGTTATATTTTCTCTTTACACCAAAGGGAACGCTTCTGAGGATATTCAAGACTGGATATTCATCAGGCATTGTAGTAACATATGCTATTTTTGGGATTACTTTTTCTCGGTAAAGTACAGATTCTAGTTCTTTTGTTGGGTTGAGTCCCATCCGGGATTCGAACCCACACCCTAAGAGTCAGGCACCTAATCGCCAGCACACAAACCCTGTGGAAGCCTAACCCGCTCAGCCACAAAAATGGAAGTCGGACAACTTGTAGTCCAGACCACGGACTTTGTGTACACCTCTGATAAGTGTAAACCGGCACAGCTCCCACGGCCGAAAGCTATGAATACACAATGCCATTTAGAAAGTGGTCATTTGTAACGTATGGTATATTGGGATTACACTTATTCAGTAAAGTACAGATTCAAATCGACCGCCTCCGTGGTGTAGTGGTTAGAGCGTCCGCCCGGAGAGCGGAAGGTCGCGGGTTCGATCCCCGACAGCGTCATACCAAAAGACGTTAAATATGGTACTTGTTGGTCCCCTGCCTGGCGCTGGGCATTAATGGGTACAACAAGGACTGGTCGGCTCGGAGTCAGTATAATGTGTCTGAGTGGGGTATTCATGCTTCACTGCAGCATGGTATCTCAGTGGGCTAGCACTATAAAACCAGCTTAAGTCTGGGCTAGTACAAGCAGCCTCACATACACATACACACGCATGCACGTCGTCATATGAGCGAAATATTCTCAAGCACGACGTAAAACCCAATTTCATCTCACCTCACAGATTCAAATCAGCCAATCAGGGTGGGGTGATGATGATTTTACGGGGGGTCACCCGTTTTGTTCTAGGGAGGGAGGGGGTGTCATCAATTTTGTACACATGTACTAGGGGGGTCAGCAATTTTGTACACATAACTATTGGAAAATTATGCTTTAAAATTATGGGAGGGGAATGGGGTTATTGATTTTGTACATGACATGCAGAGTGGGTCACTTACTTTGTACATAAATTTTAGAGGGGTTATTCACATTGTACATGCTTCTCCATAAAAAATCATCATCACCCTATAAATTATGAACGGTCCCTTATGGAAATAGTTCGGTCGTTTTTAGTTTGTTTAGTTTAGCTTTTAGTTTTCCTTATTTGTGATCCTTTGGCTGGAACTACCACACATGATATATAGCACACCTCTATTAGACGCAGGGACTTCATTGACACCAAGTCAAATTCAAATTGTGACAATATTGGCACGGTTTTAAGAGGAAATGCGGTACATGTCGAGCGTCCCACCCCCAAAACAGGATTTTTTAATTTAAACCTGCAGGATATGGGATAATAGTTCTGCATCCGCCTTAATAATATCCTCATGCCCGACACTGGTTTCGTCAAACAAAAGGATGCAGTGGACATTGAATTACTCTCACCGTTATTTCAGGTGGAGTATCAAAAGAAATCGTCAGCGCTTGCTCCAACTGTGTCCGTGAGTATTTCTGTCCTGTTATACTAGTCAGAGGACCGTTTGAAGTTTATACCCTGTATACCCAACATGTACATTCAGTCAATCTTTACCTCATCTTTAATCCAATAAGAGGGGCGTTGGGGTAGCCCTGTGGTTAAGCGTTCGCTCGTCACGCCGAAGACCCGGGTTCGATTTCCCACATGGGTACCATGTGTGAAGCCCATTTCTGTTGCAGCCGCCGTGATATTGCTGGAATATTGCTAAAAGCGGCGTAAAACCAAACTCACTCACTCACTCACTCAATCCAATAAGAGAGATGCAACGTGGTTGACGTTCTGACTTTCATTCGTTGTTCCAATGTCCTCACTTCCGACTGTTGATTACTAACTATCTCGACTGTTGATTACTAACTATCTCGACTGTTGATTACTATCTATCTCGTCTGTTGATTACTAACTATCTCGACTGTTGATTACTATCTATCTCGACTGTTGATTACTATCTATCTCGACTGTTGATTACTATCTATCTCGACTGTTGATTACTATCTATCTCGTCTGTTGATTACTATCTATCTCGACTGTTGATTACTATCTATCTCGACTGTTGATTACTATCTATCTCGACTGTTGATTACTATCTATCTCGACTGTTGATTACTATCTATCTCGACTGTTGATTACTATCTATCTCGACTGTTGATTACTATCTATCTCGTCTGTTGATTACTATCTATCTCGACTGTTGATTACTATCTATCTCTCTATCTATCTCGACTGTTGATTACTATCTATCTCGACTGTTGATTACTATCTATCTCGACTGTTGATTACTATCTATCTCGACTGTTGATTACTATATCTATCTCGACTGTTGATTACTATCTATCTCGACTGTTGATTACTATCTCGACTGTTGATATCTATCTCGACTGTTGATTACTATCTATCTCGACTGTTGATTACTATCTATCTCGACTGTTGATTACTATCTATCTCGTTGATTACTATCTATCTCGACTGTTGATTACTATCTATCTCGACTGTTGATTACTATCTATCTCGACTGTTGATTACTATCTATCTCGACTGTTGATCTATCTATCTCGACTGTTGATTACTAACTATCTCGACTGTTGATTACTATCTATCTCGACTGTTGATTACTATCTATCTCGACTGTTGATTACTATCTATCTCGACTGTTGATTACTATCTATCTCGACTGTTGATTACTATCTATCTCGACTGTTGATTACTATCTATCTCGACTGTTGATTACTATCTATCTCGACTGTTGATTACTATCTATCTCGTCTGTTTATGATATCAACCTCTTGCTTGTCCAGTGCAGTCACATTAATTTCATTACTTTAGAGTTTCATATAGTGACGAGATGCATTAAGAAGGATTAGTGAAAGAAAGTCTCTTGACAATAATTTACGAGTGACGAGGAAGGCCGGATTATCTGTTCGAGTGAATTTAAGTTTTAAAGTCACGAACTTTGACTACTGACTTACAAATTATCATTCATGACGGACAGATATTCCGGCCTTCCACGTCATGAGCAGTTTCATGTTTTCATTACCCATCGTGAAATCTATTCCGAAGCTGAAAAGAGTCTTACCGTAAGAGAGGAAGACGCATATTTCCATTTTCCTCAGTTTGTGAAACAGCACCAAATTCTGGGAATTTCACTGAGGCACAATACAACTACATAGTGAGTCCGCGGTAGTCAAATAGTTCGATAGTTCTCTCATCTCGCATCGCTTTCTAGGAAAATTAAACAAAATATTCCAAAATTTAGCATTGAGAATAATTTTAGTTTCAATAATTATGAACGTGAAGTATTTCAAAGTAAACGACACATTATATCTGATAAGCAGTCAGGTAAGTGTAGATTACTTCCAACCGTTCGCCAGCCAGTTTAGTCCTCGTCACCTTAGGTTTACGTCATAACAGTGGAAAAGGGGAAAACCTGGTAACGATTTCTACAACGTCAACTCCAAGTAATAGCATAAAATGATTAAGCAACAAGTTAAGGTTTATTCAACGAACAGGTTTATGTGAACAAAGGTTTGTAGACGACAGTCAACTTAAATAAAACTATTGGGAGATCCGATACCCTAACCTTCATGTGATCGGCGTTAATGAACCAGGAAGTTACGGAACCAACAGGGAGTTACTGTTGCAGTTACTGTTCACATCTGTATGAACATCAAAGCGTACTCTTTCAATACCTCGTCATACATTACCCTAGTTTATAGTCCTCTAGGCTTGCTAGTGTTTGATTTGGTTCTTTCAAATAGGTGACTTTACTAATTGTCTTTTTCCAAATGACAATATTCTTATAGTTATTCATCTCTTCATTTCAGTATTTTGTTTAAAAGTTTTGATACTGAAAATTCACCTCCTTGCTGTATCCTCCAAGACTAGGTGTTATATCTTATATTCAGCCCTAATTAACTGATTAAGTGATGTCTTTCATTTGTCCTTTGCCAATCACACAAACGCCAGTTACATGTTGGCTTCCATTGTTTGGCCTCCATGACTGTTGCCGTAATATTCTATTTGTTGTTCTTACATGTACATGTATATGCTCTCTGCCTCATACCATCCATTCACCCAATGGAGGAGTAAGGATATACTCCGAGAGTTGACATCCATAAAAACTCTCTCTTTCTTATGTGTATCACTTCTAAATGCCAAAGACCTAATTTAAGGCTGTTGGGATTTCCGGTTTGAATATGTCACAAGTGACCAATGCTGCCCGTAGGGTGACCAGACTTGGTGACCTGGTTGGCTGCATCCCGACGATGTTGATCGTTGCTCATGATATTCATCCCCGGACGATGTTTGTCACAAGACAAACTGCAATATTTACAGGCCCTCAGATTGCTGGACGATGTTTGTCACAAGACAAACTGCAATATTTACAGGCCCTCAGATTGCTGGATGATGTTTTTCACAAGACAAACTGCAATATTAACAGGCCCTCAGATTGCTGGATGATGTTTGTCACAAGACAAACTGCAATATTTACAGGCCTCAGATTACTGGACGATGTTTGTCACAAGACAAACTGCAATATTTACAGGCCCTCAGATTGCTGGATGATGTTTGTCACAAGACAAACTGCAATATTTACAGGCCCTCAGATTGCTGGATGATGTTTGTCACAAGACAAACTGCAATATTACAGGCCCTCAGATTGCTGGATGATGTTTGTCCAAGACAAACTGCAATATTTACAGGCCCTCAGATTGCTGGATGATGTTTGTCACAAGACAAACTGCAATATTTACAGGCCCTCAGATTGCTGGATGATGTTTGTCACAAGACAAACTGCAATATTTACAGGCCCTCAGATTGCTGGATGATGTTTGTCACAAGACAAACTGCAATATTTACAGTCCTGCAGATTGCTGGATGATGTTTGTCACAAGACAAACTGCAATATTTACAGTCCTGCAGATTGCTGAATGATGTTTGTCACAATACAAACTGCAATATTTACAGTGAGGTCTAAATGATCGTCTGGATTACCCTGATCAGAATCAGGTGTTTGAATGGTATTTAGAAGTGATACACATAAGGAAGATAGTTTTATGGATGTCAACTTCCTTATCACGAGGAACACAACGTTTCGGAGTATATACGTACTACTTCATTATAATAAAGAAATTGACAGCCATACAACTCTCTTCTCTAGATCACAATTGATAATACATCAGAGCTGGTTCAAGGAGCTGCAGTTTGTGTCTACCATTTATTGAGTCATTTATGAGTATTTCCTGTTTCAGCTTGAAGTACCGGAAGTGAACAAGAGGACATTGGGGAAACTGATCATCAAGACTGTGGGCCATGAGGGTACAGAGACAGATGAAGAGGGGACGTATCTACGGCGACAGATACAAGTCTGCATCTCCAATCTGGAACGTTACGGGCCTGCAGTGTGGCGAGATGCTATCGTGACGTTCATTGGTTTACAGGGCCATGAATACACAGTAGTCTCTGGCCGTGGCCATCACAGATTCATGGTACACCTTGATGCTCGAGACGAAATTACCTTTACAAAACTGAAATGACAATCTGTCCCTGTTATTATGAGAGTAGGTGCCACAGCTATGGTATTGCTATTCTGCTGTCGCCATTATGGATCCAACGTGTCACAAGTATCTGCTTCTTCCCTATTTACTTTTACCAGACGTAGAAACAAGGTTGTACATTGCTTGTCGTCAAGTCAATAATGCATAAATCTACTACATAACAGGAGGCACAACACAACAATATGTCTGTCTATCCCAGTACTCTCTACATTTGCCGTTAACATCCCACGGGGATTCTCTGTTCACATGAGCATGACATGCAAACCTACTTGTTATCTGGACTCGTGTTTTATGTCGTGTCGTAACGTGACACTTAATTATCTTCAGATATTTCTGTGAAAATTGGACGCTTGTGTCATAATAAAGTACTTTTTTCGACAATGGTATCATTTACTTTGGTTATTTCACGATACTGGATTTGTGACAGTATCGCTACCTGCTGTTGATCACTTGATTGTCTTGTCCAAAGTCGATATTTACAGACCACCGACATAGAGCTGGAATATTGCGGCTGCAATACAAGTGGAATGAACGCTTTGTCAGTCCACAATAGCACCTCAGTTACACGCTTTTGCTGCTTCTTCCAGGCTTTCCACTGTCCTATCCTGAACACTGGATAAATTACGGATTCTAATCTCTTAAACGAGTTTGAATGGTCGGTCCACGATGACCTTTGTGGAAGTGACCACTTCCCAACTATTCTTACTCCTATCACTCACACGGATCAACCACCTTCAACAAGATGGAATTTTACTAAGGCCAATTGGCCATTATTCCAAACTCTCTGCTCTGAAAAGCTTATACCAGAGAACTTCAGGAATCTTCCTGATCCCATGGAACTATTTTCTGATATCTTAAATACTATTTGAGACGAAACCATTCCTAAGTCCTCTGCAAACCCGCACATACGCAAACCATGGTTTGATACAAACTGCAAATAAGCTAGGAAAAATAGGAAGAAGGCGGAAAAATACTTCCGACAACATCCTACTGTGCATAACCTGAATGTCGTTAAAATGACAAATGCCAGGGCAAGACGTACATTTAAACAAACTAAACGCCGGTCATGGAGGAAATATGTCTCCAAAATCAACTCCCGCACACCCATGTCCAAGATGTTGAACATGATTCAAAAGATTAAGGGCAAAGGATCCAAATAGGGTGTTCGCCATCTCAAAGATGGTGACTCCCTTTTAGCCAATAAAGTTGAAATTGCAAACAAACTTGGCGAAACTTTGGCAAATCACTCCTCCTCGTCAATGAGGATTACAATGAAACTTTTTCTCTCCATGAACTACGTACTGCCCTTGGGCAGGCTCACGACACTGCAGCAGGAGCTGATGATATTCATTATCAGCTTCTGAAACACCTCCCTGATTCAAGTTAAGAAACTCTACTCAAAATACTAGTATTTGATGACATTTGGACAACCGGCAACCTCCCTCCTTCGTGGCACAACGCCATTATCATCCCTATACCAAAACCTGACCCCTCAAACTACCGTCCTATATCACTAACTAGCTGTGTTTGTCAAACCATGGAGCGCCTGGTCAACAATCGATTAATCTGGTACTTGGAGACCAATAACCTCCTTAGTGACCTCCAATGTGGTTTCCGAAAAAACCGAAGTACCATTGACCATCTGGTGCGTCTGGAATCTTTCATCAAAAATTCCATCGTCAACAAACAACATACTGTATCTATCTTTTTCGATTTAGAAAAAGTATACGATACAACGTGAAAACATGGTATCTTAAAGGATTTACATGAATTTGGACTGAGGGGCAGATAAGGGATTTAGTTTGAGAGGAGTCTTATCAAGAGTCTCAATAACCAAAAACCGTGGCCAATAATCAATAGATACAGAAGGACGTTCCTGATCATCATTTTCAAGTGGACGTTTGGTGATTTGGAGGGAGTGTGATATTCCATGATTGTTAGTATAGTGGTCGTCATCCAAGCTCCCCACCCACCACGGAGTATCATGAAGACAATGCTAATAACAAGTGGCTTTCCTACTTGCAGCACCAAGGATACTTCGATGATATACTCCAGCAGAATTATTAAATAATAATTAATACCAGATTGGACCATGAGCCACCGCCTTCTGGGCAGAGGACTCTAGGCATATTTAACAATTGTTGAAATTTTGAACCAGTACATATTCAGTGAAATAATTTTACCAATACCCAAAACAGGATCATTTACAAAAATCTAATTTGTGCAGTATCAAATACAATGCACAGGGCATGGCATGACCAGCCGATTGGTTGAGCCGGGCCCATTCAACCACCCGTCTAGGTGAAGGAAGGGGCGAAGTGGTGTGTTGGGCAAGAGGAACACTGTTCCTGGAAACAGTGCTCTCAACCACCAGACTCCCGTCCTCCATTGACACAGGGGCGCAACCAACGGCATAATACATAGTACATAATACGATCAGGGCCTGTGACAGTGAAATGTGAGTATATACTACGATCAGGACCTGTGACAGTCAAATGTGAGTACATTCCACGATCAGGACCTGTGACAGTCAAATGTGAGTACATTCCACGATCAGGACCTGTGACAGTCAAGTGAGAGTACATACTACGATCAGGACCTGTGACAGTCAAATGTGAGTACATTCTACGATCAGGACCTGTGACAGTCAAATGTGAGTACATTCCACGATCAGGACCTGTGCCAGTCATTCCACGATCAGGACCCAGCCAGTCAAGTGAGAGTACATACTACTATCAGGGCCTGTGACAGTGAAATGTGAGTACATACTACGATCAGGACCTGTGACAGTCAAATGTGAGTACATTCCACGATCAGGGCCTGTGACAGTCAAATGTGAGTACATTCCACGATCAGGACCTGTGACACTCAAATGTGAGTACATTCCACGATCAGGACCTGTGACAGTCAAATGTGAGTACATACTACGATCAGGGATAGTGACAGTCAAATGTGAGTACATAATACGATCAGGGCCTGTGCCAGTGAAATATGAGTACATACTACGATCAGGGCCTGTGACAGTGAAATATGAGTATATACTACGATCATGACCTGTGACAGTCAAATGTGGGTACATTCCACGATCAGGACATGTGGCAGTCAAGTGAGAGTACATACTACGATCAGGGCCTGTGACAGTGAAATGTGAGTATATACTACGATCAGGACCTGTGACAGTCAAATGAGAGCCTGTTTTTGGAAAATTCAGAAGACACTGTGAAAGCTTTTCTTTTCGTTATCTCGAAGGTGATTTTGTCATAAGGACATGTTCAACAAATGATTGTAAATTTTTTGGTAACATTAATAGACCACAACATGTGATATTATTGTATATGTGCAAATAAAGTAGGCTACAGAAATAGGAGATGAATTTATACATTTTTTAAATCGCAATGAAGACAAAGAACAGAAAGCAATGAAAACGTTGATGAGGATGGGTTCTTGGGATTTCAAGATGATATTTATAACCCGATTATTTCAATTAAATATTCATGTTGATAAGATATGTTTTTAATAAACTGAAAGCACGAAAGAAAGTCTGAATCTGGAATACGTGAAGGTTTTATTACAATACAGATACTCATATTGGGGATTAAATACACATTTGTATGCAGGATTGAACTCGTGTGAATACGGGTTTCACCTCGACGAAGAGGCTATCACCGGAAGTAGTTCTAAAGGATCCAAGACAAAGCCTTAGGCCTTGGTGGTGGACAGAATCTAATAGTTTAATGAAAGTTTTCATCGGAAGAGAAATCTGTATAAATGAAGGAGGGTTGTTTGATCCCCTCCGCACTTGAGACGGATGGGAAATAACCAAGGCTATTTTATATTCATGGTATATATATTTGTGTTATGAAGTGTAGCACACGGTAATGACACTACTGATTGCTACAGAAACATACATTGGTACGTGGCGCCAACATCACGCCAGTAGTACATGGAACTTATTCTACTGAGTGGTACACATAATGCAGTGGTGGTGCACACCCAGACACCAGGGTTACATGGGACTTACTCAGTCAACAAATACTCAGCTATTAATATGACACTGCAAGGTCAAGAGTTTGATTACTTTAAGAAAGAATACAAAATAGCATCATTCCAGTTGTCTGACGGCATATTCTGCTGGGACTGGGGACATAAAAACGGGCATTTCTCACTGAAGAGTTCCTTAATTTTGTTACGGTTTACGAATTGCCATGGTAAAAGGTTTGTGAGTCCCCTTTGAACCAGCAAACCACACAGACAAGTCTAAAACATCCAATAATATATTGATTAAACAATTACCAGGGTACAGATTGCAAATGCAATGGAAAAACACTGGGTCACAAATGTAAAATATTGACTAAATGTCTATCGTTACCACAGTCTTGATTCTCGTGATGTACTGACTGAAGAATTGTTGACGGCAAACCAGGTGCACGAACGATGTCGACATATAAGGGGAAATCCAAAGCAGTCCTCAGCAGAACACTTTTTTTTTTCTTTTTCTTTAGTTTAGTTTTACGCCGCACTCAGCAATATTCCAGCTATATGGCGGCGGTCTGTAAATAATCGAGTCTGGACCAGACAATCCAGTGATCAACAGCATGAGCATCGATCTGCGCAATTGGGAACCGATGACATGTGTGAACCAAGTCAGCGAGCCTGACCACCCGATCCCGTTAGTCGCCTCTTACGACAAGCGTAGTCGCCTTTTACGACAAGCATGGGTTACTGAAGACCAATTCTAACCCGGGACCTTCACGGGTACAGCAGAACACAGAGATCGAAATGCTTCTCGATCCTTCCGGAAGCAGAATATGAACAAACATCGACAAAAGGGCAGTCAACTCAAATCGCAGCTCCTTACCTCACTCTCTCAACAGGCGGAATTACATCCTAAGCAAGATGTGACTCATAATTATGAAAGGTTAATCAATGTGACATCAAAATCCCCCCCCCCCAAAAAAAATAAAATAAAATAAAAAAAAATAATAAATAAATAATTAAATTTAAAAAAAATATATATTAAACAACAACAACACCACCAAAAAGACAACAAAAAAATCACACTCTCATAACAATATAAACAAAATAGAAAGAAAAAGGTTAGGATTTATGGATGTTAAGTTCTGAGTATGTACTCAGTTTTGAAGACTAGGTGGGCAGGGTGACCATTGAGTGACTTTTACACTGTTAAGATTTTTCTTTGTCGATTTATAATCTGAATTAATGTTTCTTCCCATAACAAAATGCACATGCTTTTCATGATAGTAAATCCAAATCACAGAGTCAATGTAAATAATATGTCCTGCTTTCTAAGCCATCAGAAGAATCACATCACAGACTACCTCGTGATTTTAGAAAAAGATGTACTTCAATCTTTCCACTCA